CGGGGGGCCCCGGGGGAAGCCGGGGGGGGCCTGGGGGGCCCCGGGGGGCCCCCTGGGGTCTGGCTGCCAGGGGCCCTCTGCTGGCTCCCGGAGGGGCCAAGGGGGCTCCCGGGGGGCCCCTGGGGGCCCCGGGGGGCCGCACTAGGGGCCCCCTGGGGGCCCCCTAGTGCGGCCCCCGCTGGGTTTCTGAGGGGGGCCCCTGGGGCCCCCTGGGGCCCCCTGGGGGCCCTGAGGAGGGGCCCTTTTTGGGGTGCTGGACTCACCAGCGGCCGGTCAGTCAGCGTCACTTTGGTCAGTTCGTCGGAGACCTTCTCGCCCCACCTTTGCATGTTTTTCTTCATCTGCAAACATCCAAACCCGCGGCCACATCTGCTGCTGAAGCAGCAGCAGCGCGAGGGGCCCCGGGGGGCCCCGGGGGGCCCCAGCGGGCTCTTTGGGCCCCAAGGGGCCCCCTCAGGGGCCCCAGAGGCCTTACGAGGCCCCACGGGGCCCTAGGGGCCCCAGGGGGGTGTAGCAGGCTTTAAGGGGCCCCAAGGATTCTTAGGGGGCCCTAGGAGGCCCTAGGGGCCTTAAGAAGCCCCCGGGGGCCCCAGGGGGCCCCCGGGGGCCCCCCGGGGGGCCCCCGGGGGCCCCGAAGGGTGTTAGGGGCCCTTAGGAATAGGGTTAGAGGGGCCCCTGCGGACCTTAATTGCGTTGGCTTTTGTGTAGCCAATGTTCATGTCTTTGGGCTTCACTCCTCGAGAGAGAGACCTGCGTTGCATGCGCAGCAGCCGCAGCCAAAGAGCTCAACAGCTGCTGCTGCTGCTGCTGCTGCTGCTGCTGCTGCTGCTGCTGCTAGAGCCGGACCTGTCGACGTAGTCCTCGTAGTTCTGGAGAATGCGGACGATGATGTCAGTGGTGGAAACTCCCTGAGTCCTGACGGTGGCCCTGAACTTGTTCTGCAGCAGAAAGCGCAGCAGCAGCAGCAGCAGCAGGTGGCAGCAGCAGGAGCAGCAGCAGCGCAGCGGCCGCCAGCAGCAGCAGCAGCAGCAGCAAAAGCCCACGCTGCTCTTCAGCCACCCGTAGATGTCCCCGCTCTCAGCCTCTGCAGGGCTGCTGTTCTTCCGCCTTTTTCTGTCATCTTTTTTTTTCTCTTTGCACTTCTGCACTGCAGAGTACGGCTCCGCGTCGTGCGCTGCGCAGCAGCAGCACCCACACACTCTACGCTGCTGCTGCTGCTGCTGCTGCAGTTGCTGCTGCAGTTGCTGCTGCAGCTGCTGCTGCAGCAGCGCCGCCCGGAGGCAAGAGCGCGCAGCCAGCAGCTCTCGCTGTAGGCGCCGGCAGCCCGCTGGGGCAGCGCGGGCCGCTGGGGCAGCAGCAGCAGGCCAGCAGCAGCAGCAGCAGCAGCAGCAGCAGCAGCAGCTGCTGCTGCTGCTGCTGCTGCTGCAGGGGCTGCTGCTCACCGACGTAGTCTATGCGGTGCTTCTCGACGAACTCGGGAGTGATGATCCAGGGGCAGGGCGCGATGACTTCGTCGACCCATTTTATGTGGCGAAGAGTCTCCGCGCGTTCTTCGAGACTCTGCACAGTTTGGCCCTTCAGCCGGTGCGTCTCTTCGTCCGAGGCCACTCCAGCCATCAAATAAACATGTTTGAACATCTTCTTCGCCTGCTCCAGCTGCCGCATGTGCCCCAGGTGCAGCAGGTCGTACACCCCTGCGCCACACCCAAACAAGGGGGGCCCCGGGGGCCCCCTGAGCCGGCCCGGGCGAACTCACCGTCCGTGTATATCCGCACTGGCTTGTTGGGGTCCTCCCCCTCGCCGAACTCCCCAGGGGCGGGGCCCTGGGGGTCTGGCTGCGAAGGGGGGTCCTCGGTGGCCTTCCGTTTCTTCATAGAGGCGAAGTGCTGCTGCTGCTGCTGCTGCTGCTGTCGGCTTCCAAGGCGGCCGCTGGCAGCCACAGCCCGCGACTCGGAGGCCCGGGCCAACTGCGAAGTCAATTGGGAGGCAGCGGCTGCGGCGGACACAGTCTTGAAGACGGAAACGCGAAGCTGCTGCTGCTGCTGCACATCCGGCGGCCAATGGGACAGCTGCAGGGCCGCAGCCGAGACGCCGCAGCCGCAGTTGGCAAGATTAGAGGAAGTCTTCGGTTCTCAAACTGAACTGCGGCTCGGAAACGCGAAGAAACGGCTCAGCAACTCTCCAGAACGTGCATGTAACCGGGCTTTTCAAAGCGGGCGGTGGGCGCTGACGTAGTGCCCTGCGTTGCAGGGAGCTTGGAACTTGGAGAAAAATGCAACAAAACCTAATAAAAAGAGATAATGAGAAAGAAATGTGCTTTGTACCCATCTAATGCAGGAAGCTGCCGAGACCCTTGTGCCAACAAGGCACAATGTCGGGTTTCAAACTGGGCTGCGGGCGCTGGCCTACCTTAGCCACAGTACTCTCTCGGGGGCTCCTCGTAAAACAGCCCACTGAACTGGTTAGTAAAACCCACAACTTGTCCAATATTTGGTTCAAATTTTTGTTAGCTCCGGGGTAACACACCGGCCGGTCGCGCGGCTCCACGGCGACCTCCAGGTCACGACGCGGGACGCAGATTCCTTCGTTCAAGTTCATATTCTTGAATGATTTGTCTGCAAATCCCTCTACATATGCATATCCGTCGTCTCTCCAAGTTTTTATCCAGCATATTGCTGCTCCTGCAGCGCCAAGTTTCCGTGCCCGGCCTGCGCCTGCGTTTGCTGCAGAGCTGCAGATCGCTGCTCAGCTAAGAAAACGCTGCGTCTTGCTTGCGCTTTAAGTGTCTCACGAATATTTCCCAAACAATGCCTTTACTCATCTCCAGTGTTGTGCAAGATCCCCAGACGGAGTCCCCACAGCAGCCAGACACCGCCAGAAACCAAGGCGGGCAGCACTTTAGAAAGGCTGTGAGCGCTTCGGTATAAATCAACCCCGCCCTTAGCCAAAGTAGTGTAAGCGTTATTCTTCAAACAAAAGGAAAAGGATGACTGCCTCCAACAAAACCATGGAACGAGGGGACCCGTCGAACCTGTGATGGACCTGGGCAAAATGTCAATTAATAATGCACTTGAAGGCTTAAAAACGCATTAATAGTGAACGCATTGAGCATTCTTTATTCCTCAGTCGGCGCATTAGGACAGACATCTTGGCGGAGACTCTCGCCTTGGAGAAGCATCACGAACGGTCCCGCTGCAAATACCACTAAGACCGCTCAGCAATTGACACTTTCTGCCAGCCAAACAGTCCTTGGTCACTCAGTTTACTGCCTTTCAACGTATCACTATTTGGCAGCAAACGGGTCTGTTCGTTGCAATAATGGTTTTTTTCCCCTTTTCAACTGTGTTGGAAGGGTGTCTACCACTCATGTTGGCTTACGCAGTCTATCTGCTAGCTTGGCTCACTGACACAGCCACTTTCTAGGCAATCGTCAACTAGTTTACAGTAGTAGAACATGCATCTATAAAAGCCGCCTATCTGCTCTCCAAGTGCGGTGCGTCAACTCGCGCTTTATTCCCCGGATTGTCGGGGTCTGAGCAATCATTACTTCAGACTCCGCGCTTGTGATGGAGTCAACAGCTAGGAGCGTCACCTTGACTATCAGCTGCCACCTGTAAGTGCCGAAAATAGATGTCAGCAGCAACAGGCGGGACGCGCGACCCACAAAAGGTACTTAGCTGCCTCAGAACACAGCAAACCTACCTCGTGCCTAGCTAGCTGCCTCAGAACACAGCATACCTGCCTCGTTCCGAGGCAAGCATTCCCGTGAGAGTGTGCTGGCTGTGGGAAGCCGCCACTCGAAGCCGCGATGAAGCTTGTCAGCGGCTGATGCGACAACGGGTAAAGCCTGTCACTGTAGCATGCCCGGTTTACCGTGCTCACACGGAAACTTGAAAGCTTGTGGTGCCCTTGCTGCGCGAATTCTTGGCCATGTTACATGGGTATTACGAAGAAATGCTCTTCGCAACCAGATGGAAATGCCAAACTTTGTCATGGGCCTTGGCGGGTGGCTTCGTATACTACCAATTTCGCTGGAAACTTGCCAGGCACAACTATGTGGTCCTCAAAGGACATCTCCTCATCATTCTAATCGCCATCTTTTGTTTGCTCTTTCATGCATCTTGCTCCACGTGAAGCGTGCGCTTAGAGTATCACAGCCACCTCAGCCGTTGTGCCTGCACATGCCTTGCCATCAGGTGACTCTGCAAGGGTTTGGGGTCAAATTTCATTTTTTGATGTGGGCAGTAGTCACGTTTTCCAGCGTGGCATGTGCTGTTTACGGGTAAGCAACAAAAACCGCCCTTCACACAGCTTCTCTGGTCGCTGTATTGAAAGTACAATGCAGGTTTTTGTCGTGGGCGCCAACTGAATCGAAAAGTCAGATCGCAAGGAGTATGCCTTTGTGATGTTATCAAAGAGACTTTCTCGAGTACGGCACACTGCCTTTTGGATTACCCTGCAGCCAGCATGCAACGTCGCGGTCTTCGACATACTGGGCGCGTTCTTACGGGGGTTGACGCACCCTGAGATGTATTCACAATAATGATGTGCGATCCGCCAGTATGAAAGCAGCTACACAGACGTGGCCAATCAATCAAGTTGGACACTACTGCCCAAACTACGCAGCACGGACTCCCACTGTTGTGCGCAGCACTGTAGAACAGCCCAAAAAACGCCCTCAGTGTCAAATGGTGTTGTGTGCAGCTCTATGGAATAGTCCAGAAAACGCCTTCAGGGTCATATAATTCTGAGTCTGTTAATTGGCAAGATAAATCGAATGAGTAGAAGCGCAAAGGAATTTAGTCTTTTGGTGGTAAGGCCTGGTGTGCTGTTCAACCAGCCTCAGGGATTGGGGCTGCCAAGAGCACTGGAGCTGTAACCCCCCGCAAGCACATCGGAGCGCCGAGAAAGAAATATTGCTTTTGTTTGTGCTGCAGGCAGCGTTTGCACTAAGTTGGTGGTCTTTGTTGCAGTGCGCCATTAGTGGCTGACAGCAGTTGTGAATACGTGACAGAAATTTCACTTCCTTCTCCCACATGGCTGTGCATACAGTATTCATTATCTTGCATGGCCACACCTTTTCCCCCTGGGGCTGCAAACACCGCTGTTAACTTTTCCCAACTTCCCCTTCAGTGGATTTTGACTAACTCTTCCAGCACGTTCCTTTGCTTTCCTTTGCAGAAGTGACAATGAAACCAGTGCTACAACAGCCACCAGCCACTCTTGTTTATGATATTCTCGAGGTACATGCAGCACAGCACGCCGGATCCAGTTTGGTCACATAGCCTCTGTTCTACTCCTATATTAGCGCATCCTAATTCTCCTGGGGTGCCCTTGAGAACCTCGTGGTGCTCTCCTATTTAGTCTTGCTGAATTTCCATGCGCTTGCATTTTGTAGGGGTTGTTCCTTTAGCAGCAATCGTTGGAGTTCCCTTCAACACTGGCTTGCTGAAAAATATGCGCATGAGCAGCAGCTGTGCAACAGTTGCACAAGTCCGGGAGTGCAGCAGCCTGGCCGTGCACTTCATATAAGTTCTGCAGCTGATTTTGTAGTGATCAAGGCTTCGCCTCACTAGTACATGATTAGCCTTCTCTGTACTTAACACTTTCCTTCCCAAAAATGGCAGAGGAGGCCAGATAGACCCTTCCAAAGCAAGGAATGGAATCTCTCTTTCTCTTCGCCGGTGTTCCTCGCTTTGTTTGCCCCCGTGTGCTGTTTTGGTGGCACATCCAGCCTCTACCGCTGGACTTCAGCCAAAGACGCCCTGTGAAGTCTGCTGCAGCAGCTGGGCTTTTTAGGTGTGAACTTTCTAATAATGCTGCATGCGCAGAACACTAAGTGCTGCACCGTTTTGGGCTAGGCTCGTGCGACATTGTTGAGCTCTGCCCCACATCTCCGGCTGCTCTAAAGGATATGCTTTTAATGGTCTAAATGTTCTTTGGGCTGCTTTTAATGGTCTAAATGTTCTTTGGGCTTCTCTAGTGCAGGCTTTCCAGTTGCTCGCATGGCGCTCCCGCTGCGGAGCTCCACACAGTTCTTGAAGTTACCCATTATCGTGGGACTCTTCTGACTTTGCTTCATTCTGAGCTGCTGTTTAGAAACTTGGGGCCGTTCACTATGCACAGTCCAGGAACAGCAACCACTTGTGCTGCGATAAGCTCAGCTTGGATCCAAAGTGGCTCTTCATAACCAGCTATGCAAGAAACAAAAACTTTGAATTCTGAGCCCGGGGTACATAGTCCTCACTACCTATGAAGTCCTTGAAAGGATCGTTTGCCCAGCCTAGTTCTGGACTTCACAGAGTCCCATTAGCCGCAAAAGCTTTGCTTTTCGATGTGAACTTCAACTATTTTGCAGAATTTACTTGTATTCTCTCATATATAACCTCCAAAGTTCACCTTCTAGTAATTATTTTGCAGAATATACTTGTATTCTCTCATATATAACCTCCGAAGTTCACCTTCATGCAATTATTTTGCAGAATAAACTTGCATTCTCTCATATATAACCTCCGAAGTTCACCTTCATGTAATTATTTTGCAGAATAAACTTGCATTCTCTCATATATAACCTCTGAAGTTCACCTTCATGTAATTATTTTGCAGAATAAACTTGCATTCTCTCATATATAACCTCTGAAGTTCACCTTCATGTAATTATTTTGCAGAATAAACTTGTATTCTCTCATATATAACCTCCGAAGTTCACCTTCTTGTTGCACAAAGAGCAGAAGAAAGGATTCATTCTGGGCTATAGGGGGATGTGAACTGTGTGGAGCTCTTTGTGGCCTTCCTCACTTGCAAGAGGCCTTCAGTGCCCTCTAATTCTGAGTATATTAATCAGAGTACATTAATTATATTAATCAGAGTACATTAATTATATTAATCCGAGTACATTAATTGCTAAGCTAATTAGCATGAGTAGAAGTTCCCATAGAGTTCTTTGAGTGGCGGCGAGGCCACGCCAGCCACACAAGTCCACAGCCAAGTGCCCACAGCGCAGCCCCAAACTCAAAACTCTCGACAAACTCTTCTCGGAGTCAAAACTGGAAATAAAGACCCAAAAGTTGCCTTTTTGAAGTCACTTTGGCCCCACTTAAGCTGCCTAAAGCAGCTCCCCACACTCCCACTAGGGCCCCCAAGGGCTCCTCTTGGAGCTGGCCTGAGTGCAAGTGTGGGGCCTATTTTGCCTAAGACAATAAAGCCCCCCCCCAAGGGGCCCCAGGGGCCCCAGGGGCCCCAGACTGTTCTTCCCAAGACCCAGCCTGCCCCCGCGGGGCCCCAGGCCCGCAGTCCCTGTGGGGGCCCCCGGGGGGGTCTTGAGTTAAAAAGGAGTTTATTTTGGCCAGCAGTTTTTGCCCAAGACCCTCGCCGGCCTTTCTTTCAATGCAAACCCCCGGGAGTTTCCCCAAGTGCTGCCAGCACTTCAACTTAGAGGTGTCTGCAGCCCCTCGGGGCCCTTCTTTGGACTTCACCGCGAGAGGGTGGAGAAGTAATAAAAGTTTAGTTTCTTAGGAGCCCCAGGGAAGCTCTGCTGCTACTGAAATCAGCTCTAGGAGTTGCTGCGAGGGCGCATGCAGGTGCTGGGCAGTGGAGTTAGGCAGAAACTGGAGAGTCTGCGGAAAAGCCCCTCTAGACCCTCCAAAAGGACATTTAAAATGCAAAATTATATTTATAATTAGCCATTTGAAAGGGAGAGGGGCCTGGGGGCGCAGTGCACTTGTGTGCTCGACACCGCAACCCAGCCTTCTGCACCCCGTTCATCACCCGTGGGGTCAGAACTGCGTCGGAGGGGGCGAAGAGGCTGTCGCGCGGGTTTGTCTTCTTCATTTAAAGTTTTTAATTCCTCAGTGTGCTCTTTTTGGTCGAGTTCGCGTCTTTTTTGCACCCGAGTTCCCCCTAAAATGGAGAAGTGAGCCTGCGCGGGTTGCTGCTCAGTGCTCGCGTTGCTGGGGTTGTCTGCGGCCCCACAGGCTGGCCAGAAGGCTGTGACTGGCGAGTGTGGGTTTAGTTTTTGCAGTTTGGAAGATGTGGTTTGAATTTTTGTTTCTGGCGGGCTGCTGTTCGCAGAGAAGCCGCGCTGGGGAGCCCCCCGATCTTCATCGGCGATGATGTTCGATACAGCCCTGACGACTTGCTGCTGCCCAAGCAGTACCACAAGTACGTGGAGAACATCATAATTCCCAACGGGCTGCTGATGGACCGCGTGGAAAAAATGGTGAGTGATGAAAAGTGGCGTTGGGGGGCGACGGGCGGCGGTTGCGCGGTTTGGTGTCGATTGCGCGGTGTACGTACACCGGAGCGCGCGCGCAGTTTCCGCGATTCGCGCAGTTTTCGTTTATTTTTTCGCGAATTTGAGTAAATTTTGAAACTTGAGAGTTTGTTTTTGCATTTGGGGCGCGTGCAGGCGTACGACATCCGGCGGGTGTACCGGAACAAGGAGCTGCACTGCCTGTGCCTGCTGAAGGGCTCGCGGAGCTTCTTCTCGGTGCTGTTTCAGCACCTCGCGAAGCTGAGTCTCTACGACGAAGACGCGACTTGTCCGCCGTTTTTCGAACACTATTTGCGGGTGAGTTCGTGCGTGGGGACTGCGAGTTCGCAGCGGCTGAAGGTGGTCAGCGACGACCTCCACTGCCTCCGCGACAAAGACGTGCTCGTAGTCGAAGACATCATCGACACCGGACTCACCCTCTGCGAACTCCGCAAGTACCTGCAGCAGTTCGCGCCCCGCAGCGTGCGCATAGCCACTTTGACTCTGAAGAGGACTTCGCGTTCCAACGGCGAGTCCGCGGACTTCGTCGGATTTTCACTTCCCGACAAGTGGGTCATCGGCTTCAGCTTCGACTGCGACCAGATGTTCCGCGACATGCCCCACGTCTGCACCCTCTCCGACGAGGGCAAGCGCCTCCTCGGCCTCACGCCCTAGCAGCAGCAGCAGCAGCAGCAGCAGCAGCAGCAGCAGCAGCAGCAGCAGCAGCAGCAGC